GCAGCCCCATGGAATCTCTTGTAGACACTAATCCTGCCATACCCCAGCCCCATCCCAAGACCTGCTTTAACCTTCATTTCTTCCCTTGTCCCACTATAACCCCACTGGGTGAGGGTTCTGAATCTGGGTGGAAATGGGGCCCAAGCATTAAGGAGAACCTTATGTGACTTAGGATTTAGATGCAACCCTGAATTAATTATTCATTTCATTTTTGCCTTTTAGTAGTAATAGTCTTTGGAAAATAGTATTTTTAATATACCTGGGTTTCTGGCCTGTGAATTTATTCTAATCCCCTTGGTGATTTGCTTTTGTAGACTGGAAATTGGAGTGTGGGTTGACCCACAAGCATGGCGGGGGAGCAGCTCAGATGGCACAAGTTAATATTCAATCCCTTATGTCTCCTGGGAGTTGTGTTCTTACCTGGTCACCCCAAAAGAATGAACCATCGCCCTTGAAAATGGTTCCTATGAGCCTCATGTGAAAGAAACATTCCAGGTCACCTTCCCAGGGTCACCTGGTCTCCTGGTTTTAGTCACGTGCCACATTAACATGGAAATAATAGTAATAACAAGCAGCGCTCAACAATGTTTAAGATACTGTGCTAAGCACTGGTCATCTTTTAATTTCTACTAAAGCTTTTTATGTGGCAACTGTTGTTCCTAATTTATAGATGGGAAACGAATGTTACATATCAGAAATGAAAAAGCCCAGAGGTGGGCTCAGCCAGGTGCAAGGCTCCCCAGAGCCCACGTGTGTGAACACTAGACTCCAAACTCTTTCTTGCTAATTATAATAAATTCTCATGCCTTTAGACTTGGAAAAAGGTTTCCTTGAACTCGACTCTTCGTGTGTTTACACTGCATCATCAGCTTAAACTTCAAAGTAGAGACTAGGAACAAAAATGCTTAAAGACTAAATTCTTTAAAACACCAACCTATATTGATGCTTGACTGTTTTTTTAAAAAAAATAAGCTTTCTATTTATTATCAAACTGCTCTTTCAAGCTACAAGTATAGGATTTCACCTAGTCTCCATGACCAAGGTTTCTACAATTCCCAGTCAGA